CTAGCTGTCCATAGATGTGTGGTTTTATCTCTGGGCTTTCAATTCTGTTCCATTGATCTGTGGACCTGTTTTTGTACCAGTACCATGCTGTTTTGATCACTGTAGCTTTGTAGTATGTTTTGAAATCGGGGATTGTGATTCCGCCGGCTTTGTTTTTCTTGCTCAGGATTGCTTTAGCAATTCGCGGTCTTTTGTTCCCCCATATGAATTTTAGGATTGTTTGCTCAATTTCTGTGAAGAATGTTCTTGGGATTCTGATTGGGATAGCATTGAATCTGTATATTGCTTTAGGTAGTATGGACATTTTAACTATGTTTATTCTTCCAATCCATGTGCAAGGAATGTTTTTCCATCTCTTTATGTCATCGCCTATTTCTTTCAAGAAAGTCTTGTAGTTTTCTTTGTATAGATCCTTCACTTCCTTGGTTAAGTTTATCCCAAGGTATTTTATTCTTTTCGTTGCGATTGTGAATGGGATAGAGTTCTTGAGTTCTTTTTCTGTTAGTTTATTGTTAGTGTATAGAAATGCTACTGATTTATGCACGTTAATTTTATACCCTGCTACTTTGCTGTAGTTGTTGATTATTTCTAATAGTTTTTCTGTGGATTCTTTGGGGTTTTCTATGTATAAGATCATGTCATCTGCAAACAACGAGAGTTTTACTTCTTCGTTACCTATTTGGATTCCTTTTATTTCTTTTTCCTGCTGAATTGCTCTGGCCAGCACCTCCAGTACTATGTTGAATAGGAGTGGTGAAAGTGGGCACCCTTGTCTTGTTCCTGTCCTCAGAGGGATGGCTTTCAGCTTTTGTCCATTGAGTATGTCATCTCCAGAACTTTTTGTTTTTCCTGAGGATGATTAGCCCTGAACTAACATCTGTTGCCAATCTTCCTCTTTCTTTGCTTGAGGAACATAAGCCCTGAGCTAACATCTGTGCCAGTCTTCCTCCATTTTATATATGGGTCACTGCCACAGCATGGCTGACTGGTGGTGTAGGTCCACCCCCAGGATTGGAATCTGTGAACCCGAGCCCCCGAAGTGGAACACGCCAAACTTAACCACTATGCCATGGGGCCAGCGCCTCCAGAAGTTTTTAACTACTGATGTTTTGGATCAGATAATTCTCTGTTGGGGTGGTGGGGGTGGGGTCTGTCCTGTACATTGTAGGATGTTTTGCAGCATCCCTGGCCTCTGCCCATTAGATGCCAGTAGCACCCCTCCCCCAAGCCCTGCTGTTGTGACAACCAAAAATGTCTCTAGACGTTGTCAAATGTCCCCTGGGAGGCAAAGTTCCCCTAGTTGAGAAGCACTGATTGAAGGGGGAAGAATTTTCATTGTAAGTTGTGTCATTTTAACTGTGAAGAAATAACTTTGGGAAAATGCATTATGGGCATTCATTAATATCAGACACAGAACTATTTGTAACTTGACTATGTATCAGATCAGTTGTGCTTTCAATAGTAAACAAATAGAGCACTTAATTACCACAACAGTGATAACATAATCACTCTGATTGGCATTGCTTCAGAATAGCTAAGACTAATCAGAAATGGTCTAGATTGGAAATGACAGCTTTACATGCATGACTGAATGTGTATGGGTGAAAAATTGTTGTAGTATAAGGTTAAGAAGTCTATTTTAGTTTTTTATGATAATTACTGCATATTTTATAGAGTGACATCAACTGGCTTACAGGAAAATAGCCATTCTGTGTTATTCTCAGACAGAAGGAGTATCCTCTGTTAAAAAATATATAGTATCTTATTTGATCTTGTTGACTAATATATACTGTAGTTACAATGAACAAGACAATATAGACAAATATTTGAGAGACATATTAATTGTATGCCAGGAAACGTGAAATTTCCCAAAGCCAAATATGATTCTACATCCATTTCTATCCAGTGCCTAAAAGGAGAAACTTTGAGGAGCGCTTTAACTTTTAAGGTACTGAAGAACGTTTCTATGTGTTTTAGAAGTAATGTGGGCTGATAATTAAGGGACTGTGGAAATGAAGCACTTAATGTTAGTCACAATGTTCCAAATAGCTGATATTTGTCCTTAGGTGAGAGAACCACTTAAGATAGAAAGAGTCAGGTTTATTCCAAACCAAATTAGTTCTATTATTTATTTCTAGCAATTATCAGGTTTTATTATTTATAGTTGCTGAAATTCTGAAAACAAAAATTTTTAAATATTACCCTTGGTACCAGTGATATTTGGTTAAGTCCCTTGACTCCTCCAGGCCTTAGTTTTGCATTAGTCAAATTAAGGCGTTGAAATAGATCATCTTAAGGACCTGTCCAACTTTAATTGGTTATTATTCTCTGGTAGATTAAATTAATAACTGGAAAAAATGAAGATTAAAATAAAAACTATCCCTTGAGTTGTAACTATGGTTTCAATTACAGGAGATTGATCCTTTATTTTCCCAAATAAAGGATATAACAGCCTTTCAGTTTAAGTAACAATACATTTCTTATATATTAAACTGTTCAGTTTTCCATGTATGTTGAGAATGTTAGGCAGTAAAATATAATTATTTTAAAACCATACAACGTAAAATGAGATTTTGCAGTGATGCTGTTCACACTAATATCTTGATTCTCAAAGTATTGCAGAGCAATTAGCAATGTGATAAATTAAGAAGGGGAACTAACACTGGTTCTGTTTCTGTCCAATTATAGATAACAGGTTAGATTGTAGTATTGACAGTACAAAAGATAAAATTTATCAGCAGAAAATATTTTTATGCATAATTCATTTATCCGTTATTATTTAGATTTAATAAAAGTTTTCTTCTCTCTAAAGGGAACATATTATGATTGGGAAAAGTTTACATTGTTCTTGGATCTATATAATAATAATATTTAGGCCAGCAGCAGCAGCATTGTTATGACTGCCATTTATTGAGCACTTATGTGCCAACACTTGTCTTATATTATCTCATTTAATCCTTACAGCAATTCTGTGAAGTAGGTATTGTTAACTACAGTTGCTAAGTAACTCCTTCAAAGTCCCATAAGGAATAGGCCACAGAGGCAGTATCTGTCTTTCTCCAAACTTTGCCCCTTACCAAACTGTAAGAACCTCGGGGAAGACAAACAAACCATCTTAATTCTTAATTCCACACATAGTTAATAGCTTCAGTAAGACAGTGAATTCCTATACTGCAGACTGAGTGTGAATTATTTTGACATATGTGACTCGACTTAATTATCCATACACATGACTTTCTGTATAGTATCAGATTCATCTGTCAGTCTCTCAATTAGGTTTTGGTGAGTGGTCAAAATTAAGTTCACTCTTATATCAGAATGTCTGCTATGGTTTATTTCATTCTCTGTCTTTAAGCAGACATAGGGCCTACGGAAAGCTCCTACGGCTTTAAATTAGAGGAAGACTTTCTTAGCTTCTTACAAACCTACCCCATCTTTTGAATGGTAGTCCTTCATAGGCTTGCTTAAAGAATAGACGTTTTCCCACGGCCCCCTGCTGATTCTAAATGAACAGATTCTCAGCCCCCTGCTGACTGGTGAATATATTGCTTCTCCTCATCTTTACCCTTTACTGACAGCCTTCATAATAACTTGCTTAGAAGACAAACGGCACGGCAGAATCTCTGACAACTCATTAAGGAAGAATACAGTAGATTTCTGCCAAATATCACTGCCATTTTAATGTGAACTAACAGCAGTTTTTGTCATGATGCAAGAAGGAAAGGATGCTGCTGAGAACTATTGCCTTCTGTCAAAAGCAGCATAATGTCTCTTTGCATTGTTTTTAAAGAGGGGTTTAATGAAGAAGTCAATGTATAGATTATCTATAGAATTTTGCCTTTGCACATGCTGTTCCCTCTGCATGGAATGCCTTTCTCTCCATTTTCTGCCTACCTTTCCAGAGCCAGCCCTAATGGTACATTCAATATGAGCCTTTCCCTGTCTCTCATAGCATCACTCCTTCCTCTGGGCTCTGACAACACTTTTTTCTACCTCTGTTGTAGCAATTAACATGTTGCAGTATAGCATGTGTAATTATTTGTCTTCTTGACTCAACTAGAAGCTTCTTGAACACAGGGACCACAGCGTATTCATCCTCGAATCCCCTGCACCCGGCACAGTGCCCGGCACAGAGTAGGTGCTGGGTTACTGATTGTTAAATGACTTCCCTACCATAGTATGAGTTTTTTCCTGTTGGAGTCCAAACCTACTTAGAGTATAATGATTGCGGTCATGGAATCTATGGACAAGTCCCAGCTCTCCTTTCTCTTTTCCTCTTTCTAGAGAGAAATATGTCAAAATGTTAATAGTGGCTGTCTCTGGGTGATAAGATTATGGCTTATTTTCATATTTTTCTGTGTTTTCCAAACATTCGGAAATCAGTATATATATTACTTATGTATTCACAAAAGACACTTAAAGAAAAAATCTCTTTCAGTTTATTTCCGAACAGGGAAACTGAGGCCAAGAACATTACATAGGCAGTTCATGGCCTTAAGTTGGAATAAGGAAACCTGCATTGGCTCAACCAATTTTTGCTATGAGGTAAGAGCCACAAAATCACAATGATCCCTCTAGTTCTCATCTGAAATAAGGAAACTGAGCCACAAACCATCTCACTTCATCTTGTTCTCTTCTTGTATAAAGGTAAAGATTATTAGAGTTGGGTAAAAGATCACTAAGAATTGATCACTGGGGCCCAGCTCACCTTATATGGTAAAATGAATTTTTTGGTGACTCAGCACAAGTTGATAATGAAAGATAATTACTCTAGTGATAAAGGACAACTTAGTTAATATGTGAGGATAAAGTATATGGCAATGAGTGAAACATTTGAATTTGTAATTGGAACATGGATGCTATATATTTGATGTTTTAAAATTTCCTTTGATTCTATAGTAGGATTTAAAAAAAAAACTGTCTGGGAGAAGGCTCCTTTTGGTTTCCCAACTCACAGCAAATTAGAAAGAAGAGATATGCAGTTCAATTTGAGTCAAAAAATATTTTTGGATTACCTACTTTGAATCTTTTACTAGGCCGCAAATAGAAATGCTTAATTACCTTGTTAAGGACATAAGCTACTTTTAAAGAGACTTATACAATTAGGTTTTAACTAATAGATAACTGTTTTACTACAGTGTTAATCACTCTAGAGTGGACAAGACATTTTATTCATCTTTAAACTATAAGTGACTTGCCTGGTGCTGACCACATAGTAAATACAACAATAATTATGTCCTTCCCAACTAGGATATAAGCTTTATGAGAGCAAAACCTTTTTCTTATTTCATTGTAATAAGGTCGTTACCAAATCTTGGAACACTGTGTGACACAATGGAGGTGTTTAACCTTTTTCAAAAATTAATCATGATAATAGTAGATGACATTTATCAATATGCTGAACATTGTGCTATCCCTTAAATGAATTATTACATTTAATCCTCACAATAACTCCATGAGATAATGTTAGCATCTCCATTTTACATTTAGAGAGATTAGGTAACTTATTCAAGGTCATGTAGCAGGAAAATAGTTTAGCCAGAATTTGACCCAGGTCTGTATGTCTCCAGAGTTGGGTCTCTTTACTATGCTGATCTCTAAACTCAATAAATATTCCTTGGTTAAATAAATGAGTAAACTTTCATTTGCATATATTTGTATTTATTTCATCACTTTTCTTAGAAGAGGATTTCTGATTTTACAAACACCTTCCTTTGAAAAGGAACAACTACAAGGGCCTATGAGATTTATTTGACCATATTTCAAAGATGCACCATTGTTTTATGTATCAATTATGTGTCATTATAATTATAGATATCATTTATGTATCGAGTTATGTCATTATAATTGTAAACACCATCGATTGTTGATAAAATCCTAATTTTAGAGACATTAAAATACATGCTTTAGAAAAGGTAATACATATAAATGTGCGCATACATGTGTTTTCTGTATTACAACGTGAGGGTTTTTTCCGTAAATTCTGAGGCTATACAATGCAGTGGTGAAGCATGCAGACAGACTTTGAAGCCAGTCTGCCTGGTTTCAAATCCCAGTCTGCTTCTTCTTTGCTTGCAACTCTGGGAGAATTTCTTAATTTTTCTGATTTTAGATACTTCGTATATAAGATGGGGATAGTAATATTTTCCTCTGGGTCGCTCAAGTATACTTCATTAGACCTAGCTAAGCATTTTTAGTTTGATTTCCAGAACCTTTTGCAAAAGATCAATCATATCCTTTGCTTAAACTATCTATCAGAGGAACTGAGCCCATATTTCTGCCTGTATTTTATTTTCAAAGACTATCTTTTAGTTCAAAGACTTTTTTTCTTTTTTTGCTGAGAAAGATTTGCCCTGACCTAACATCTGTTGCTAATCTTCCTCTATTTTGTATGTGAGCCACTGCCACAGCATGGCCTCTGATGAGTAGTGTAGGTCTGGGCCCAGGAACCAAACTCCAGCTGCTGAAGCAGAGAGCACCGAGAGTACCAAGCTTAACCACTACTCCACAGAGCCAGCCCCTTCAAAGACTGTTCATTATCTTCAGGAGGTCTCCAGCCCTGTGATGCCCTGAAAACAGCCATCCTCTCAGGTTATTGACACTAACCGAGCTCACAGTGAGAACATGGTATAAATGAGACACATCTCCACGCAGTCACTTCCCACTATCAGCCAGTTAATTTTGCATGAAGAAAACCTCCAATGCATAACTATAGCCTGTACTTCTCATTCCTACCAGCCAGGCAGGTGCTTGCTCTATATCTCTTTGCAACCGGAAGATATATATTCATTAATATTTTCTTGATCTCTCACTCTCTCCTCCTCCACCTTCCCAGTTAGTCTTTGTGCAAATAAACCTCTTAGCTCTATTCAGGTAGCAAATGAACAGAACTCATTTTCGTCAGATGAGGTTCATGGGCTGAGTGGATCTATTTGGAATGTGCTAGGCTATTTGTTAACTAAGGCGAGCTATAATGAATTTTGGGGGTTAGCAAAAGTGACGTCTTTTGCTCTAAGACTAGGAAATGTTTTCTGAAGTTCAGGAAATATCAGGTATGGGTTTTGTTTGTTTGAGTTAGTTGTGCGCAAAACTCATGACTAAGAAAGAATAAAGAGGTTAACAAAGATTAACTTTGGACAGAGGATGTAAGAATGACTCTGTTCTTTTTTGTATTCTTCTAGATTTAAAACATTTCCCCTGGGAAAAGAAGTCTAAATTTCTCCTCTTTGAAAAGGTCAGAAACCACTTACCTAAAAGTTATTTTATCATCTTAATACAATGGTTTTCAACCCTGGCTGCTGGTTAAATCACCTGGGAACATTTTATTTTTTTAATGCCACACCTAGAGACAAACACAGAGATTCAAATTTAATTGTTCTGAGGTGGGACCTGGGCATTGTTCGTGTTTAAAAGTGGCCCCAGGTGATTCTAATTAGCAGCCAGGCATGAAAGTTGTTGAGCTAAAAGTGCTACCGTATCTAAATCTCTCTCCTGTCTCTTAGTAAGCTCCTCGGGAAAGGAGCTAATTCTAATACTGTTTCATTTTATTCCTTATGGAGCATTCGATTAATGTTTGCTGTTTGAAGATAAGAAGGAAAAGACACGATCTGTGATCTGAACTTTATAATCCAATGATGTAACTGTAATCAGTCAGAGACTCAATTAGTTTATTTTGGGGCATTATATCTCAGTGCCACACATACATCTTATCATCAGCCTTGAGCTGCATTTCAATGCCTATCTCTGCTACAGGAACTGGAAATTTTACATCAATGACTGGACTAATAGAGCATGCTCTAGGACACTTATCAGTCTGTTCAAAGAACAGGTGATTGGCCATATGCCAAGGGAATCTGCTGCCCTCTGGAGGATATTGTGCTGTTACAGATGAAAAGAGCATTTCCCTATATTCCACAGCATGTGAGAAGTTACAAAACAAAACAAAATGAAACAAAACAAAAAGGTTTCATCATCAAGCCATTTGGAAAATGCTACACCATCTTTCTGTAAGGAAGTAACAATGCAAATTAGCACAATCAAGACTGAAAATTTGTATAAAAAAGAAATTTGTTTCCCAAATAATTGGACCATTTTCTCCTCCACCTAATGCCTGTTAATATTTGGGGAACTAAATTATACAAATAATATTTTGTATGAATAATCTACAAATGACATTTGAGATTTGGAAAAAGTAAAGGGGAAAAACTTGATGATTTCTTAAGTAAGCTATAAAAAGGAAAAGACTGATAAAGTAGATGCATTAGAATGAAAAGATCCCACATCCCATGCAGTGACATTTTGACTGGAGGGATACAATCTGATGTGGCAGTGTGATGCGCCATGCAATAGTATTCCTGTTTATCTTTCTTCTTAGCTTTTATCCTAAGAAACATTTGAGATGTTCATACTGTTGCATAACAAACGGGATTATCACTTGTGCTTTAGAACACGTGAAGTTGACTTCATGTACCATCAAATGTACCAGAAATCATTAGGCCAAAAATGCATGGACAGCAAGAGGCTAGGCATAATGTGGTTCCATCTGCAAGTTCAGTTGGTACAAGCGTAGACCCCATATGTGCAATTATAGCTGTGTTTTCCTCGGGCTAGGAAGATAGCAAATTTAGTAGAAATAAAATATATTTAGTTAAGAGGCTTGGGTTTCATTCTTTTACATCACTAATTTTGTGATCCTTGACAATTAAATACAATTCTCCTCATGTGTAAAAGGAAGACATACTGAGCTGTTCTAACTGTTCAATGAGACGCTATATGTGAAAATGCTTCACACAGCATCTGACATATAGTAGGTACTCAACAAATATAAGTTCGATGTAAATATGACTGGCAAGCATACAGATAACACCAAATTAAAGAGTCAAGAGGTCAACCTAGGAGGAAGCTGAAGCTGGAGGTAGGAACTAACGGTGACCACCCATCCCATCCTAGTTTGCCAGGGACTGTCGCAGTTTTAGCACTTTAAGTCCTGCATTGGGGAAACTCTTCAGTCCTGGGAATGCTGGGATGGTTGGGCGCCCTAGCTCAGAACCCAGAATAAAAATGCAAATAACAAGGATATGGACACCAAGGAAAAACTAGTCACCAGAACACAGACATGTAGTCTGGGAACATTAGGAAAAACGGTGCTGAGAGTGACCAATATTTCTCAGGCAGGAAGCAAACCAGGCTCAGAGTGTGAGCAGGGATAAGCCCACAGGTGGAGGTCAGTAGACACACGACGTAATTGAGAGAAACTCAAGGTGCTATACAAGTAGTGCTATACAAGAGAAGCATTACACAACTACTTTCTGGAGTGACTGTGGCAGGAAGACTAAAGTGAACAATGAGGAAAGGATGGTCTCTTCAATGAATAATGCCAGAACAATCACTATCCATAGGAAAAAAGAAAATTGCCTCCCTACCTCACACATTACACAAGAGTAGCAACATAGAAGCCTAAATATGGAAATCAAAACTTTAAGCATTTTAGAAGAAAGGAGAAAAGCTTAATAAAGAATTTCTTAAATAAGCTATAAAAAGGGAAAGACCAATAATGTTGATTACATTAAAATGAAAAGATTGCATGAACATAGTGAAGAGCCAAGCTGGGGAACAATATTTGCAATAAATTAAACCAACGAAGCACTTGTATTAAAAGTATGTAAAAAACAATTCAACAAGGAAAATCTCGGCAGTCCAATAGACACACATTAGAAATGTGCAATTCACAGAAGAAACGAGTGGTAAAAACATATTTTTTAAAAAGCTCAGTTTTACCACTAATCAGAGTAATGCAAATTGAATAACAATGAGATAACATTTTACACCAAGCAGACTGTCAAAAGTTAAAAAGCCTGAAAATACCAAGTGTTAGTGAGATTGTGAAGCAATAGGAATTCTTTTGCGCTGCTGGCGAGGGTGTAAATAGGTACAACCACTTTGGAGAGCAAGTTCTCAATATCTATAGATGTTTTGAAAGTATACACCTGAGCAATACTTCCTAGGCATGCAGCCTAGAGAAACTCTCAAACGTGTTCACAAGGCGTCATGTACAAGAATGTTCACTGTAGCATGGTTTATAAGAGCAAGAGATTGGAAACAACCTAAATGTCCATCAACTGTAGGATAAATAAATCGTGGTGTAATTCAGTCAATGGATTACCACCACACAGCAGTTAAAATAAGTGACTAGAGCTAGATGACCAATATGAATAAATCTCAAAAATACAATATCGAACTTGAAAAAGCAAGTTGCAGAAGGATTTATACAGTATGATATCTTTTGTATGGAGTGTAAAAAATGCAATATTATAAATTGTATAGGTACACAAATATGTAATAAAAATATTAAAACAGCCACAGAGATAATAAACCAGATAGTGGTTACTTTTGAGGAGAAAAAGATGGCAATGAAATCAGGAAAGCGTTCGCAGGGCATCAAATGTGTCTATTATGTTTTATTTTTAAACTATCTGAAGCAGATTTGCAAAATGTTAAGATTTTCCAAAGTTGGGTGATAGATACATGAATGTTATTTTGGCTGTAATTCTTTCTCCCTATGCTTTAAGTATTTTAATCTTTGTAAAGAAAGTAAAAACAATGTTATTAACATTTAAATTGAGATTATTTCAAAATTACTCTAAAATACAAAAAAAAATGGAAAAAACTACACTTTTAAGAGTTGCTCAAGCCAAGTTTAACATTATTTCCAAAGAATAAATTAAAGCTACCCAATGTCCTGACACATATTTCACTGCCACTTAACTAACACTAGATGTCACTTTACTTCATGCAATTTAGTTTAATATTAGCGCTTTCTAGTTGAAATTAGATGAACTTGAGTATGTTTTATAATTTTCTTTCTCCCGTAGATATAGAGAATGAGGAAATATGCCTCAAATCCATTCTGGAAGGCAAGGAACGTATCTATTTTGGTTCACTGTTTTATCCTCAACATCTCCTGCACATAATAGGGTTGCAAAAATATTGTTAACTGAACAGACCAAGGATACAAGAGACTTTAATAGAAAAAATGTTTAATATCACCAAAACGTATAAAATTACGTTTGGAACAGTTTTTGTTTCAACTGGTGGCAAGGTGTTTGAATGGCTTGTAAGGGAGAGGTTGTGACTCTAATCTCAAAGGTCAATTTGTGGTCAATGGGGAGAATACATCATTTTAGTTCTTTTAACCCAAAGTTGTATTGCATTTTATTGGAGCATTGGATCTTCAATGAACAAGGACTCCTTAAATCAATAATCGTTACCCTTTTATAGGGATAGGGATCTTTGATAATCATGAAAACCATGGATTATCTGAAATTTTTCATACAAACACACAAAAATTGTTTCATGCAGTGTCTGCAGATTTGCAGGCCCCCTTCAAGCTCATGCCTGTACCCAGATTGGGATCCTACCAGAAACAGGCAAAAGCGCTGGCCCAGGTGCTGTTCCTAAGCTTCTTAAACTTCACTTTCACTCTGGCACTAGTCAGAATGTGTGGCTGAGGGCTGCACACGTGATGGGGGCTGACCAATTTGACCATGTGAATGAATAGTATGGAAACTAGCCCTGGAGATTTAGGTATTAACCAAATATGAGCAATATTGACTTTGGAAATACTTGGCATTCAGATACCAACCAAAGTATTTATGTATATTTTCTTATCAGAATGTTTAAGGAAAGAAAAAAACGTAATGTATTTATTTGCTAAAATATTTATTTGGAAGTTTTTTCTTCCCTGGGGAGCAAACTAAATCCCAGGAAATACTCCACAAATTCAAAATAGTTCCTTGTGCCTATTTGTCCTACTGTTTTCATTTTACCTGTCCTAACTGGCAAGGACTATTTTAAAATGTTATTATTGATTTTCTTGCATCATAAATATATCAAAACTAATCTTTAGCCCAAACCATGTGATATTGTTTGATTTTATGAATACAAGTTAATGAAATTTTACTACGTAGTGTAAAGATACTCAAAATCAAATGAGCTTGAAAATTCTTTATCTTCTTTTCTCCACATTCTTTCCATATTCAAAAGGTCCCCTTTTTCCAGGGACTTTCAGTTCTGTTAGACACATTATCAATCTACCAAGATCAGGTGTTGAATGACAGACAAGATTCTTCTTTATTATGACAAGCCTTTTATTTAAACTACTTAGGTCATAGTTACAATAGATAAACTGGGCCAATTTTTAAAAATTGTGGTTTTACTCAATAGAGATTATGATAA